CTCTAAAGCTACATGTGGCCACTGAGCACTTGAAATTAGCTAGTCTGAATCGAGATGTGTTGCAAATGTAATATATACATTGGATTTCAAACTTAGTATGAAGAAAAGAATGTAAAATATCTCATTAATAATTTTTGTATTTATTACATGTTGACATGATAGTATTTTGGATATATTGTGTTAAAATATATTATTAAAATTAATTTCACCTGGCTTTTTTTTTAACTATTTAAACTGTGGCTACTAGAAAAATTTTAAATTATATATATGGCTCAAGTTGTATTTCTATTCGATAGCACTGCTCTAAATGGCCAGAATGTGCCACCCACATGGGGGCTTAAGATGCCCTCAAAAATAGACTGGTCCTTTCCATGTCCCAAAATATGTTTTCAGGTCAAAAAGCGGAATCTTCTCTTCAAATGCAGGGACTTGTCTTAACTTGGGGATCAGATTAACATAGTCCTCCCCACTGGGAAGCACTTTTCCTCAATGGATAAAATATAGCTTATAAGAAAGTCTAATATGTTAAAAGTCAAACTTCCAAAAACCTCTCTTAAGGGATTTCAGCGTCCTGGCATGCTTCCACATACTAAACTACTGCCTATGTTAAATGGAAATGATCTTTAAGGGCAGGGGCTATGGATTCATTTCTTTTACTTCTCTCCACAGAACCTGGTACATTGCTGTGTCTGGAAGTTGTTAACCACCTGGCTGACTGTGGGTCCTGTGGGTAGGGGATGGTAGGGGTTGGTAGGGGACTGAGGTTCCTCTCACTTACCTTCTAAAGCCATGCATCACTGAATATGTAATAAATCCCCCTCACTGCCTGATGGAGGACATTTGCACTCCTTTGATTTCTATGTGCTCAAACACCAAAATAAAACAAAGAAACTAGCTATCTTATATTTGATTTAGGTTTATTTCCTCCATAAGGAGTTTAGCATTAAGCAAATGGGAAGTTGGAGGGGTAGTGAGAGAACAAACTTAAAAGAATGGAAGAAACTAATTCATTGACTCTTTGCTCAATACACCTGACTATTATCAATCTGCAAGAAATGGATGTTGCACTTGGATGGAAACCAGTAGGAAGATGTCTAATAATAACCTTGGGCAGAATTCCAGTTGACCACAGTAAATGTCCAAGGAAGCTCATGTTCATTTATTTTCACCAATACAGCACATTAAGAGTATCTTGCTTTTAAAATGCATGCTGCTCTGGGTGGCTAACTAGATGGTGATACTAGTAAAAGAAGCCATTGATGTTTCTGGAAATCTGAGCATCTTTTTGAGCACTAGTGGGCAAGTGTCCTACCTCCCAACTGACATAATGCACCTTCTGCAAGACAGCAGTCTGTTGGCACTGCTCCACTTTGAAGTAAAACCTGAAATGGACTCCTGCTAATGTGGCATATTGAACCAACCCTTTTTAATTTCCAAGGCCTTCTCAGTTGATCCATGATACATACATCTTCATGGAAGTGACTATTGCAGGCTAGAATTACAAATTACTTCTGACAGCAGAGTGTACCCCTAGAAGAACTTGACCAAGGTCATTAACCAAATCCTTAAGCAGGCAGCTTTCAAGGTGACTGGGCCTTGTTAGAAAGGGTTTATGAAGCACCTGCTGGGCCCCAAGGCTTTGTCTAGGCATAACCTGGGAGCTAGGGAGATATGAGGATACAGTCCTTGCGCACAGGAGTCCTCATTCCTTAGGAGTTAGGTTTCCAAGGAGGGCTGTTACATCATATCACACAAGGCCACTGAGCTTCTTGACAGTCAAGTTCATAAGTCACCTTACATCGTGTTTAAGCAGGAAAATGGTAAAAATGGAAAACAAGCCAAGGATCAAGAATAAACATTGTAACAATAAAAAGAAGAGTTTTCAGAAACATCTCAAGCCAGAGTACCGTGGTAACATGGTAAAGGTAATAAGATTACATTCCTGAAATGCAGGCTCTATCATAAAACCTAGGTAATATTTTGTTATTTCTTTTCTAATTTTTGCAAGTATTATTTCATTCTATTTACTCCTCTCCTTTCTTATATTTTCCTCCAATGAAGAACAAGGCAGGTGGAAAAACAACATGTATTCTTTTCAGAAAAATTTGCCCTTGAAACATGATTCAATCATATCCTCAATATCATTATCAATTTGCTATTGACAGGCATCTAAAATATAGATGACTTTAAAGTCCTGTTTATTCAGGTATGCCAGCTTCCCTCTTCATTTCAACAACTGGGAGAAGGAGCCTGCCCTCTGAAGGGGAATCTAAGTGTGGAGTTTCATTCCTAAGCAGGCCCCTGGCAAATCTTTCGTTCATTTTCCAAAGTTAGTTAAACAACTCAGTAGTCACGCCCGACTGATAGCTGTGGTGTCAGTGACCCACGTGTGTTTTGGGGCAATACGCTTGGGTGCTGGAAGAAACACAGATTTTTATATAATTTGAAATACAAAGATATTAGCAAAGCTACAAGATTAACGAAAACTACTAAAAACCACAAAAAGAAATGTTAATTTTATGTTTTGACTTGCTGCTCACTCTCATCAACAAACTTTGTCATTAAGTAATTAACATGTACCTTAGTTATTAAGTAAAATCATTAGCAAAGGAAAGTTGGCCTATGAAGTGTAAATCTAAATTTAGAATATAACCAACCCTACAGTGATCAAAGTTTGCTAATAAGAAGAAAAGCACTTCAAAAACTTTAGTAGTGGCTTATAAATTGGTTGCAAGCCCCTGTTTAAACAGAGCCAATTTTCAGTAGCCCACAATAATGATGAACAACATGGAAAATTTTTATCAAAAGTAGATCGAAGCAAATTGCTTCAACAGTTCAACTTTTGTGCATCCCTATCACACCTGCACACATGTATGATACACACACGCACACGCACACACTTTAAAACAGAACTGCCAAAAAGATGGGAAGGGAATGTATCTCACTTATGAGTGTGTTATAGAGAAAAGATCTTCCACTTTTCAGATGTAGAGCTCTGGGTTCAAATCCCACTTCTGCTCCTTCAAAGCAATGTGATCTTTGGGGAAGTTGCTTACCCTCTCTGAACCTCAGCTTCCTTGTTTGGGAACCTCACTTCCCATTCCTAAAATGGATGGGAAGTGAAGTTGTAACATTGACAGCTTTGCATGGTTCTTGTGAGTTACCACCCGGAATGAACTGTCACAAGTGAAAGTGGAAAGCAACTTAAACTTTCTTCCTTCCCTTAATTTTCTCTACCCACCTCTCTGAGGCAGAAGTAACCAAGGAGCAGAATAGCTAAAAGGTGAAAAGGGAAGGAAAAGAAGAAGACGCAAGAGAACGAAATGATACACAAACTGGAGCTGGATGCCACCTTTCTCTCCTCTGTTCTTTGCCTCTATTAGGAAGGTGTGTGATGCAAATTTGAACACTGAGTTTACTTTTAAAAATACATTCTGGCCCAGTGTGGTGGTGTGCACCTCTAGTCCCAGCTACTTGGGAGGCTGAGGTGGGAGGAATACTTGAATCCAGGAATTCGAGGCCAGCCTGGGCAAGATAGTGAGACCCTGTCTCTAAACACACACACACACACACACAGACGCACACACAGTGTTCTTGTAACACACTTTTAGCCGTCATTTTCTTTCAACGCTAAACTATGAGTTGTTTAGTGGCTCAAAGAAATCCCTTAGTAACAAATTATTGGAATAGTTTGTATCCCATAAGAACATAGACATTATATTGTATATGTCATTCAGTAGGTGGCTAAAGTGCTAGAGAGCAATTAGTATTAAACTGCCCTAAGAAAATATATTTTAAAAAAATAGAAACACATGAAGAAAAGCCCACAGGGCTCTCATATAACTTCCTCAGTTTTCCTGCTTTTTAGGAAGTTGTTCTAAGCCCGCTTTGAACCCTTATTAACCCTTATTAAGAAATAATAGTTCCATGATGGGTCAGCCTTCAAATCTGTGAGCCCTCATTTTGGGGGGGTCACAGAAAATGCTACATTACAAAATCTTAAAAAAAAAAAAAAAAACTCTTCCCGGGGTCAAACTCCACAGCCAATCAAAATATTGCACCTTTTTAACTTGGGGGAAATCGCTAAAGAATAGCTTTAACTAGTGTGGTTTTTTTTTTCTTGATTTGGGGATTCAAAGAGAAGTCTCCCCAAGTTCCACACGACTTCAGCCCACAAAATACCCATCACCCATTTGGTGTTTTTGATTCCTTGAGGACAGACACATGCTGAGGTGGTTGGGAAGGAAGGTTCACATTTACCTAAGGGGTCATAACCGGTGGCAGAGAGACTGATTAAATTTGGGATACCAGTTACTGAGATGGGAGGAAGCTGAGTGCCCCGTTTCCACACTTCCGTTATTAAAGGCATGCAGTCCCTTTTCAAATAAATGTAGCTTCCCCAGGTTTCCACCACCTGGAGAGAAACCCTGACAGCACACTCTGGAAATGTTTCACAATTCATTTTAAATGTACATTATTTCTAAATACATCATCGAGGGACTCCTATTTATTTATTTTGAAATTTTCAAACGAATGGGAAAGTTTTGCTTCCATGTCGTTTTCATTTTTCCCAAATTGGTATTAGGCACAAAAATCAGTTGAGGAACGAATCATTCCTTAGCTACAATTTAGAACTTAAGAAGGGACTCGTCCCAAGCTTTGTAAAGAGAATACCATTTTAAAATCGCACTGTAGGATTTTTACCTTCAGACCAGAATACACCTTAAAGGAAAAAGGCCATCCCCTCTTCCCAAAGCTCAAAACCCAGCATATCCCAAGCAGCCCTTTTCCTACCCAGCCAATACAATAATGCTTTGTAAGCTGAGAGCAGCGCCCGGTATAGAAGCTAAGTATAAACAGCTGAGAAAGATTAGGCGGCAGCTCCATTCTCATTTACATGAAAATCCTCTAAGCATCGTTTCCCTCGCTGGCTGCGGGCGCTTAAGGAACTCTTTTATGCCATAGCCACGTATACATTTGCGTCCTTTGTCTTTACTTACCAGTCGAGGCTGTGGGCATGTGTGCTCTATTTCCTCCATGGTTTCTGAGGGAGGCTCATTGGAAAGGGATTTTGGGATACCTGTTTCTGACTCAGCATCAGTGGTAAGTACTGGCATGGCCAGTGAATGCTCCCTTCAGCTCTACACCCTCTGTCAGTCTCCTCCCAGGCAGAGAATGTTTTCTTTGTCACGTATTTTTCTCTTCCCTACCCATCCCCCTCCTTCTTCCCTTCTTTCTGTCTTCCCTAGGGGAAGTAAAGAGGTTATCTCCCGCCCCTTTCTTCTCGGAGAAGCCAAGAGGCAAGGCCTCAGTTTATCACTATAACAACCAGACGACACTGGAGCGGCTGGTGCGGGATACAGTATCCTCATTTGCATGGAGCGCGCTGGTTGGCTACTGTCATCATAGTACCACTCCGCCGGGGAGCGGCTGGGCCCCATTGGCTGGCCGGCCGTACCCACGGGGCTGAACTTGCTGCTTTTGTTTCTTCTGTTTAATTCAGTTGCAAAGGTCTCAGTCCTTTCTGGGCTTAGGGACCCAGGCTGCACTACCCAGATAAGATAAAACCGCTTCCTGAGAGGCCCAGATGCCTTGAGAAAGAACATAGCAGATCTCCACTAAAAAAGGGCCATGTCCCTGGCATGAGTGTATGATGTGCTGTAGTCAGAATATTTGCCAAATAGGAGTCACCTTGAAGACAGAGCCACTTTTGAGCCTAAAATCACTCACTGTGTCAATTGCCAGCTGGCCTGTCCGGACGTTCATTGTGGGCACCTGAGTGTGCAACCCCTGAACTGCGTGCAACATGAACACTGGCAGATCCCCTGAGGCCTGGTGGAGCCCTGGAGCCTACCCCTGGGGCTGCCCCAGGAGGAACTTTGAAGGAGGTAGACTGTCTTTGACAGCCTGCCTCCCACCTCTGGCTGCCCTCCCCAATTGCTTCCTCCCTCAGCCACTCTTCCTCCTCACTAGCTATTCTGAGTTTCCTCAAGGAAGTCTTGCTGTTGCCTGTCCTTCAATACACTGTTTCATGGTCTGGTCTATTAATCTCTTTGCTCCTATTTTACCAGTCCTGGGTCCCATTTCCTAAGCACCCTGTTTTCAGGCAAATGCTCATGGCAATCAGAGAAACATCCCAGATGAGATGTTAAAGATGATGTGCCTTAATGTCTAAATTGTCTAGGAACATCCACATTTTAAGAGGGGCATTCTGAAGACACACACTCAAAGAATAAAACTTACAAAGGTATTCGTTCTAGTGAAATGTCACACTTTTAATATTAATAAAAATCATAATAATCGCTAGCATTTATTAAGCACAGGCACAATGCTAAGTACTTTACCTAGATTTTGTTTAATCTTCATAAGAACCCAAAGAGGTAGATCCTACTATTACCCTCATCGGAGCATCCTTACAGGTGCTCAGTTTCTCAAAGTTCATAAATAATCGAGCTGGGATTTGAAGGATTTTAGCGGGGTCGGGGGAGAGGCGGGGAGCAAGGATGTAGCAGGTGTAGTAAAAAAAGAAACTAGGTAGGAGTCCTCTTAAGACAAGTCCCTCCCTGGGCTTCTAAATCTTTCATTTTTACCTACGGCAGTGGTTTTCATCCAAGTGTGGTCCACGACCAGCAACATGAACAACAACATCACCAGGTAACTTGTTAGAAATACAAATTACTGGCCCCATGCCGGACCCCAGACCTGATTCAGTAGGTCTGGGGTGGGGCTGGAATTTGCTTTTCTGAGTTTCTGGGAGATGCTAATTCTGAAGGTATAAAAATCATTCTTTGAGAATCAGTAGCCCAAAGGATGGGATAAAAATACCAGCCCTGCCCCCCTCACAGAATTGTAGATCAAATGAGATATCCTGTGAATGTCCTTTGTAAATTAGAATGTGCTATGCTAATATAAGGGGACACTATTTTTATTACTCCTCAAATAAGAAAAGAGGGCTAGCCCTAAAGGAAGAAAAATGGATTCTGCAGCAGAGAATTACAGTTTGATAGTTATAGATCTTGCCCCATTAGGTAAGAATGACATCACAGGACAGCATTATTACCTATAACAAGAGAACTCCAGTGATGCTTGGGTCATCTGAAAAGGAACCACTTCCTTCCTACCCTTTCTGCCCTAATGGAAGCACAAAACACCTCAAGCTGCAGGTTTAGCGCTACCAGCCCATCACCTGGAAGAGCCTAGCCCTGCATCATGTTTAGGAGCCCCCTTCCCTCCCGTGCTGGGTGATGTGAGAGTGAGATTGTTATTCCAATCTCAATATTTTCTTTGCTTTTGAATAGTGGTTCTCAAGGTGTGGTTCTCCAAGGAGCAGCAGCAACAGCCCTGGCAACTTCTCAGAATTCTCGCTCCCCAGCCCAGACCTACTAAATCGGAAACTGAGGTGGTGGAGCCCAGGAATCTGTGTTTTAACCAAACCTCCTGGTTTTGGAGGCACTCTGACACATGCCAAAGTTTGAGAACCACTGTCTTAGAGTCACATTGTTAAGCACCTAACTCCCACTGTATTCTGGGCCACTGAGCTATCCTTTTGGTTCCTAATTGGTCCTCTAATTTCCTCTCTAGAATGGGAGGCTCACCTGTTCACCTGAGTATTTAGCAGAGTTCTGATGTCAAGAGGCTGGACCATACCCTTATACCCCCAGCCTTTTCCATCTCAAAATGGGCAGATGACTCCTTCCTCCTCTCCTCATCCTCTTCTATCCCATCGAACCAAGATCCTGCTTCTGCCTAGGATAAGTATCTTCACTGTGTCACAGATGTCAGACCCTTAGCTCTCAGTGCCACTCTGTGTTAAGTCCAAGTCACACCTGACACTTAATCTTCCCAAGTCCTTGAACCTTGCAATTTAGACTTGTCTAACAGCCCTGAGGGTCAGCTCTATAATTAATTCCATTCCCACCAATCCTACTTCAGCCTAGTCTTGGTTTCCTCCTGCTCCTCTCCCTGCAGTCTGGTGATCGAATTCCAGTATGTCTTCAGTCCTAATGGCAGAAATAGACGCTTTCAGGCAAAATTCTTGAGAGAAGTCCTTACCAGATCTACCCACTTTAAAGACCAGTCTTGGCTGCTACTGCAACCTGATTCAAAAACTTCTTACTAATACTCGAATGGGCTATTTTAACTTAGGGGCATTGTAATACTATCAAGACAATTAGTTGAGAATGACCAGTTAATTCCACACTATGGAATTAAATATTCCATAACCCTAGGAGTTGCGAGGGGCTAACTATAAAGGGATAGCAGGAGGGAGTGTACCGGAGTGATGAAATTGTTCCGTATCCTTATTATGGTAATGGTTACACAAAATCTATGCATGCGTTAACATCATTAAAAACTCCTTGGAGGGGCCGGCGCGGTGGCTCACGCCTATAATCCTAGCTCTCTGGGAGGCCGAGGCGGGCGGATTGTTTGAGCTCAGGAGTTCGAAACCAGCCTGAGCAAGAGCGAGACCCCGTCTCTACTAAAAATAGAAAGAAACTAATCGGACAACTAAAAATATATAGAAAAAAATTAGCCGGGCATGGTGGCGCATGCCTGTAGTCCCAGCTACTCGGGAGGCTGAGGCAGAAGGATCGCCTGAGCCCAGGAGTTTGAGGTTGCTGTGAGCTAGGATGACGCCACGGCACTCACTCTAGCCCGGGCAAAAGAGTGAGACTCTGTCTCAAAAAAAAAAAAAAAAAAACTCCTTGGAGGACATTTGTCAGTAAATGCTAACAGCCTTTAGAAAGTTCATACCCTTTGACCCAGGGATTTCACTTGGGAATTTAGCCCAAAAGTAATAACCAGAGAAGCACAAAAATAATTATGTACAAAGATGCTTAATGCAGAATTATTTATAAAAGGCAAAAAAGATACAACTTACAGCAACAGTAGGAATAGTTAAAATAAAAATGAAGTATATCCATATAATATAGTATTATATATGCATTAAGAGTCATATTTTTGAAGAAATCCTAATGTTATGGGCACATATTAACATTATAATGTCAGTGAGAAAAGCAGGCTACAAAATATGATTCCAAAAACATGATCCCAATTATGTGATATGTACATGCATAGAAAAAAGCACTGGAAAGAAATATACCAAGATGTTAACAGTGAAATCTTTAATCTGTGGGATTATGGGAGAGTTGTGTTTCATTTTTTTTTAATTATCTAAAATGTCATGTTATACTTTTTTGAAAAATATTTTTCTGCCTATAACAAATGCTCAAAAATAAGCATATATAAGTCTTATAATCAGAAAAAAAAGAACATTATCCTCTTCTCCAAAGGCATCAAGGACTGGATATTAGTGCGAGGGTGAGGCAGAGTGGTTATCTCGTGAGCAAATAGAAAGGTGCACGGATCAGAGAGAGAGGAAACAAGAGAGCTGAAACTGAGGAACAAAGCTGGGGCAGAGACCTATCCCCAGTTAGCAGAGGCAGAGGAAACCGTACTGGAGGCAAGCTGTTCATAAAAGCCCCAGGGAATGTTTGGGGACAGGACTCCCGAGTTCTGTAACCGCTCCAAGTAGGGCACGCCTTCTGTGAGAACTCGTTAGTTCAGTGCTGCCCCTAAAAAGCACCATCAATATTATTTTTACCATTTCTTGAATGCCTCTTATGTTCTTAGCACTATGCTAGGAACTTATCACGGACTACCTATAACCCCCACAACACCCGATCAAATAGGAAGAATAGCCCAACTTTGCAGATGAGAAAGCCAAGCCATGGAAACCTTCACTTAAGCTTGGAAGAGACCTACACATGACATCCTTCTTCCTACAAGTGGTCTTCACATCAGCAACATCAAATTGTTAAAAATACCATTCCCGAAGACCTGTAAGGAAGAACTAAAATAATCTCTTTGGAGCAGATGCTGTCTGAACCCTGCCCAAATCTCCTTAGGCCTTACCATAGTGGCTATGGTGTTACCATAATCAACACCTGGCCCACTGCCTACTGCCAGCACGTGCATCTCTCTACCTGAGGGCTTTATCTGGTCATTGGAAACCCCCGCCCTCCCAACACCACCGTCGGGGCAGAGCTGAAGGACCAGAAAATTAACAGCTCACAACCCTAAGAGCTCTCAATCAATGACTGATAGGCGTCAGTGTATAAATACCCCGGTTCCCTCAGCCCTCAAGTGGAGTAACTCTGAATTACATGCTCTATGCTGACTACCAGAGTACCAACTGCCACTGTGGTTGCCTGCTAAACAGCACCCTGTATTGCTGCCTTCCTTTTCTTGTCTCACTTGCCCACACTCCTGTGAGTGTTTCTTGGGATCACCTCCCAAATAAACTACTTGAACTTGAATCCTACTCTCAG